ACGACGATGACGATTCACGTTTTTAAAAAATTATTATCATCATCTCGTTCTTATCAAATCGCCCCTCGTGTGTACTAAAAGCCACGCGTAAGGAAATATTCTCGAAGAAATGTTGGAAGGGGGGGTGGTCCTCTTTTTTCTATATATTCAATACATCATTTGAACGTCCCTCTACCGAAGGGGGGAGGAGTGAAAGGGGAAGGCGGTGGGGGTACCTAAAATTATTAACCGAAACCGGATTTGTTTCAAACGACGCAAGTGTTTAATTAATTATGAATTTAATTAACTAATTTAATTTTTTTTTTTTTTTTTACGACAATAATTTAAACAAAACATAATTTCATCATCATCATTATTATTATCATCATTATCATTTTAAATAATAATAATGATATAATATGGAACGAATAAGTTAATATATATATACCTCGTGGGGGTATTAATAGAGAAAATTTTATTTAAAAAAAAAAAAAGTAGTTTTTTAAATTTCGCAACAGGAGCGTAATAAACAAAAAAAATGTAAAACATAATAATACTACTACTACTACTACTACTACTACTACTAATAATAATACTAATAATAATAATAATAATAATAATAATAATAATAATAACAACACGTCATTCGTTAAATATATTATTTTTAAATTCACGAATTTATAAATGTCGTTTATCCTAAAGCAAAACAAAAAAAAATTTTTTTTTTTTTTTAAAATCCTGGATCCGATCGATCGTTAAATTTCAAAACGATCATTAACAACAACAACAACAACAACAACAACCGCAACAACAAACAATCGTGCATGAATTTTTTATAAATTTTTTTTTTATTTACCTTAACATTTTCCGAAGGTTTTTCTTTTTTCTATCATCATCATCATTATTATTACATAAAATAATAATAAGTGATTATTTTTTCTTAATTCCCAAAGGATAAAAATAGAATGAAAAAAAACGTGGCAAAAGAAAAAATAAGAAAAAAACTTTCTCCAAACTCGTGGACCTTAATAAATAAATAATTTCAAAATGCCTTCCGGTCAATACTAAAATTGTATAAATTATTATAAATTATATCGATAAAGTTTTTATTTTACAAACAAACATACAAACACGACAAACAACACGACGAAAAACTGGATCATTTTATAATTTTTTTTTTTTTTTTAATAATACAATTATTATTACGATACAATGCAAACGTGTAATAATAATGATAATAATAATGAAATCGACATATTTAAAACGTAACGAAAAAAAATTTATCCGTTCGAATAATAATAATAATAATAATAATAATAATAATAATAATAATAAATCAACGACATTTAAATTGTTTTATTACCCGTCAACATCATCATCATCATCATCATTTACCTTATAAACAATTAACTCCTATTTGTAAAATCATTTTTACAGTTATTAAAAAAAAAAAAAAAAATGATTTATTAACAACAAACAAACAAACGAACAAACAAACCGATATACATCATACGCACTATTAAACCTAATTAAAACTTAAACTTAAACTTAATTAATAATAATAATAATAAAATCTTTTGAAAAAAAAAAAAAAATTAAATCGACCGTCTTGAAAACAAACGAAATGAAAATTTTCTTAGGAAAAAATATCATCATCATCATCATTATTATTATTATTATTATTTTTCTTAGAATACATTTTAAATTTTAAAAAGCTAATAAGAAGAAAAATAATAATAATAATAATTATTCTAACACGTAAAATAACAAAAACAACAACAAACGTACAAAAAAAAAAAAGAAAAATTCAGGTACAAACGAACAAACGAAGGGAAAGATGTAATAATACTATTTACGTCACTGACAATTTTATAATTATATACATAAATAAATAAATAAAATTAATAAGGTCGTTTTTTCTCAATTTCATCGATTAATTAATTAATTTGGAT